GTGATGGTGAATGTGTTAGGTGTTTTACTTCCAGGTGATGGTGAATGTGTTAGGTGTTATACTTCCAGGTGATGGTGAATGTGTTAGGTGTTATACTTCCAGGTGATGGTGAATGTGTTAGGTGTTATACTTCCAGCTGATGGTGAATGTGTCAGGTGTTATACTTCCAGGTGATGGTGAATGTGTTAGGTGTTTTACTTCCAGCTGATGGTGAATGTGTTAGGTGTTNATACTTCCAGGTGATGGTGAATGTGTTAGCTGACCTGGTGGATGCTGAGGTGGAGAATGGTGGTGAAGACTGGAAATGTATTCGTGGATTCCATGCTTTAATTCCATACCTGGACCTCTGCCAAAACAGCAAAATTGTAACATTCATCATATACTCAACACAACTGCCAGACGACAACCCTCTTGCTGAGATGGTGAGTGCTAATGCAAATTTCATAGCAAGAATCTCTCTCTCTCTTTGCAAAAGGTGAGCAACAGTTTAGGCTAAAAGAAAGAATTAAGAGAGCATGTTTGAACACAAGACTGTTAAAACACTTGCCATTGCCTAAATGCACTTGCAATGGAGACACAGTACCACATTTTAAGAGTAAAAACTGCTCTGTTTTGTTTAAAGTGTTTTCTTTGTACATCATCCTGTGTATTGTTTTAGCTTGTCCCTATGTTCAAGTACTGGCTGTCGGATGATAAGTTTGGTATACACTTTGCCAGCTTCATAGGCTATGTATTAGTGCATTATATGGAAAATGGTGCAGGTAGGTGAAAATGCCTCATCAAGACTACTATATTGGTGCCTTCAGTTCAGCTATAATTTGCATCATTGAAAATTATTGGCAGGATGGCCCTCCTAGGAAAGGCTTGTTTACAGTTTTATGTATTTTCCTTCAGATCCAGTGATCTGTTTTTCACAATGTTTTGTGATATCATTTAAGATCACTATCAAACCTATAGCCTTATTTGGTCTGTAAGTAATTTTAAAAATCTTTAATTATTTTCCAAATTGGTGAGAGCTTATGGCCTTTTGTAGTCAGAGTCTGGTCCACATTAATGAGCTTCTTTTAATTCTTTTATTTATAACACACATTTTGTAATAATAAGATACTCTTTGTTATCAATAAAAAGAAAATATGTACCTTGATTTCTATGAAAAGGGGGCTTAATTAGTGTGTTCCAACCCCCTCCTCTGCCCTTTGATCAGACTTATATTCTGACATACAGGTTGTTCTTTGATTTTAGCATTCCACGCACTCTTGAGTTCCAACCTGTCCTGTGCTATGGAGTACATCAGTCCCCTTGGTAACTGTTTCCACGGCAGCGAGACAGTACGGGAATTCCTGTTACTGTTCCATGCTAAAGTTCTCCAAGATAATCATGACACTGCAGAGAATGCTGCAGTTGTGAATAACATCAAACTTGTGAAGGGCAAAGAGGCCTACCTGAAGGTGGCTCAAGCCTATGTTGAGGACAAGGTGGATGTTGATTTGGCAGGTAAGATATGGTAAATTCAAGCCCTTTTTAAATTTATGTTTGTGAATTCTGAAATGGAAAGTACTATGCATTTTTAAATTAAATTATTAACTTTTTCATGTGACTCGTTATAGGTCATCATGAAAAGCGATGTTTATCATGAATCAGCTAAATAAATTGTTTTCAGCATTGAACTGAAATGTTCCAAATCAGCTGTGAACATGTAATATTTCACTGAGAAGAAATTTTCTCAGGTTTGATATAATTTTTCATTCTTTTGGGCTTTACTCTGTTGGTTTAGAAATTTCACAGTTGTGCATATTAGTGTTTCTTTGCTTTTTCCTTCCCTTTATTTGTTTACATAATCCATATATCAGTCCATTAGTTCATTTCTTCATACATATATTATTGATGTCCAGGTACCTATGTGGACTTCCTGGAGCAGACAGGTGCCCCTGTGAACCCAGACATGTATGCTGTCAGGTTGGAGAGGCCAGGATGCTGCCGGCAGTCACCAGTGCCAGGTAATTAAGGCACCTACTTTCACCTTGAAAGACGTGTGTTAGCTCCACCAATAGCTTTTCACTCCTAATGATCAGTAGCAATTACTGAAGATGTTTAAGGGCCAATACCGTGTGATATGTATCATAGGTGTACATCTTGTTGGGCAATTCGCCCACGTGTTCTTAATATAGAATCACAGGAGTCTAAATGAGGATCATCCAAATTGTCTAATCTTTTTGACTGGTTCCCTATCACAGCTAGTGTGCAGTTTACTGTATGAACTATAGCTGTGACTAGCAGATCACTGTATTGTATGCTGACATCTTAACAGTGACAATGAATGAATATATACATTTTTGCACGCTGTAAGATTTTGGTCTCAAAAAAGATGAGCAGGGGCAGATTGAGGCCGTCTTCTGGAAGATGGTCAGATTTTCAAGTTTACATTGATGGGTATCTAATTTTTTTCTGTCAGAAGATGGTCAAAAATGAAGGATGGATCAATAAAGATAATGGAAAACTGTCAGAAAATATGTCTGGATCAGTCCCTGATGAGGTACTTGAGATGAAAAGTTTATATTTCAGCATTCATATTGAAAGCTCGTGAAAAGTTTGACCAGAGGCTGAGAAGGCTGCTGGCCAGGGAGAGGAGGGACCCACTGTGGGAAGTGAAGAGACAAATGTTCATGTCCAAAGTGGAGACATTTCAGCATAGATTTGGTAATGATTTTATTAGTATTTTTATATTTGTTTTATCTGCTCTGTTGGTTGATTTATTTATTTATTTAGTATGCACCAATTTACCTTGGCCAGTTTACTTAATTTGATTATTTGTTATTGTTTTTATTTATTATATTATTTTTAATGTGGAGTAGTTGAAATTGGACTACTTATGAAAAAAAAAAACAAAATAACTTTCTCTGAAAATGTAACTTTTTTCGTAAATGATATGATTCTATACACCAAATGATTTTCATTTCAGCCAACTTTCCCTTTGACAAAGTTAAAGAAGAAACAAACAATAAACAGAAAACACAAAAGAATGGGAACCAATCTGCCTACCAGAGTTCTGAGCCTAAGAAAGACCAGTTCACAGGTTCAAAACCAGTGCCAGATGTCGACTTGGCCAAAACAACCAGTCCAAAGCCTAGTAAAAGTGGCAAAGAATCAAAAAAGGGTGATCAGTATTTGCCTACGTCATCAGTGACTAACCCAGGCCCTGGTTTTACTTCCAGTGGACAAAGAAACCCTTTTCAAAATAATGGGAAAGGACAATGTGGTGGAGATACAGCTTCAAATCTTGAGAATAAAAAGCCAAAAAAGAAAAGGAACACGAGCATGGATAGAGATTCAAAGCCCAATTTTTTTTATAATACAGCACCTAGTGAAAAGAAAAACTCAAAATATCCGAGCCAAATAAAGTCCAAGAGCAAGAACTCTGATCAAAGTGAAACAAAAGATCCAACTGATACTGAAAAACTCAAAATTCCAGGAGATTTGTCAAAGGAGAAGAGTAAAAATAAAGGTGCCAAAAAATCTGAAACTTCAGCAGGAATTGAAGGGGAGTTTATGTGTGAATTGAACCAGGATGATAAGATTAATAAATTATCTCACAAGCTGAAGACATCCTCAGTAGACAAAGGAGTGGATTTTACCAATGTTCCTCCATCTCAGTCTTTGTCAAAGAACACCAATGCTACCTCAAGAAGTGATAGGCCCACAGAGCACTCACAGTTAAATGGAATAACAAAAGATGGGAATGCCAAACAGTATGTGCGAGAAAAACTTTGGCCAAATTTTGATAAAAAAGGTGATGCTGCAAGCAAGCATTGTGGGTGTACCCCAGGTGGCAATTGTGGTAGTTGTGCTTTTGAAAGCAATCTGTTTGATCATGGTGGTGGAGGAGACGCTGGAAGGAATGCAGCAGGTGATTGTGGTGTGGCGGAGCACTTGAGGCAGATGTCTATTGAAGAGACCACGGGAGGAGTGACCAGTGAGTCTGGAAAGAAGGTATAAAATATGAAAAAAACTGTTTTTTTTCTTAAATTTTTTAATTTGCAAAAAATTGAATGGTAATGATAAATATGTAGATAAGTTAAAAAGGAAAAGTCGTTTCACATAATGTGCAGGGTAGAATTTTAAAAAAGATTAGCTTTTGAAAAACTCTGAAAGTAGAGAGCAGTCATGCACATTTTATCATTGGTTGATATTTAACATTTGTTAGCCCTTTCTTAATAATGTCATTGTTCCCATTTAGACCTCCAAGAGCAAGACCAAGATACGTACCTGTGCATACTGTGCCAAGGCGTCCAGGGAAGGGGAGAGGTACGGGAAGTGCTCTGAATGTAGAAAGGTGGCCTACTGCTCCAAAGACTGCCAGAGAACCCACTGGAAACTTGCTCACAGATACAGATGTACCCCAGTTCATGTGAACGAATGCTAAAAGATGAGATTTGAAGTCACAGGAAATGCGTTTTGAAGGATCTCTGGAAAAGTGCTTTAGAATACAGGTGCAGCTCAGCACAAGTCTGTGGATCTTGAACAAAATGGAAGTAGTGTGCCAAAACCTACGTGTTATTACCCAAAACGTTCTATTTTTATATCATAAAAATTTAGGAGACAGGCAAAAAGTTGGCTGCTTATTATATTGTAGTTATAGATAATAAATATTTAACCTGAATTTTGATGCCTAAGCCAAATGGTTTATGAATTAAGACAGAAGTATAGACACACCTGTACTTCTTCCAATCTCCAGAATATTTAGAATTTTTTTTCTGAATGCTGAGGTACATCTTAAGTTGTGACATGAGCATGTAGACAGGTATATAACCCTAATACGTGAGGGAGAGTTCCAAAAACACAGTTTTGATATTCTTGGAAGTGTTTTGAAAACTGAGTGGACATTTACCCAGTATTCATATTTTAACATACATTAACAGAAATTGATATCAAGCAAGTGTTACTGCATTGTAGTTTTAGCTTTCACTTTCAGGAAGCCAGATTAGTATAATTTGTAGGTCCGTTTAAAAAAAACAAGCTGGAAAAACAGATTTCCATAGTGTTTAATGGTACTTGACATGGAAAACCACACTGTGCCTAAGAGTCCCAATTAATGCAGTAACAAATGGAATTGAAATTAATTTTTTTTTTTTCACTCAGAGAAATACCCAGGCAAGATGAAAGAAAAGTACAGATAATCTCTTTAATTAAAGTTTTATATTAGTTTTTGACTGTTTATGTCTTCAGTTTTATACTGCCAGATTGAGTTCTCAGTTTTTTATTGGCATAGTCATGGCATTTTACAATTTTTACATGAAGTTTTTTTACAATTTCTAGGAGGAGTTTGAATCCTCACATTCATCCTTTGCTCTATAATATAGTTGAAATTTACCAGTTTTGATGGTCTTAACCCAGAGGTCATTGAATAAGGTTTGATTAATGAAATACCACAAACGGCAAATAGTCAGTTTAGAGTTTTAGTTTAGTAGAAGTGTATTTAGGTTTGCTTTTTTATATACCCAGAATTTCTGTATTGTTATAATTCTAGAAAAGTAAAACATATTTGTAGTTTGATTGAACATTGATGATTTACCTTTATTGCTTTTTTATTTCTGTCAGTAGGTGCCTTCTTGACCCAAGCAAAAACATACCTTCTCAATATTTCAGAAATCGGTTCCCTATCTCTAGAATCTGGGGTCTTAGCTCAGCACATAGATTTTGTAATTCAACTTTCAATTATTCTCAAAAATACATACCCATAAGATCTTTCAACATTTATTTGAACATTGTTTTTTCTTTCAATGTGGACATAGTATTAGGTAAATTCAGACAGTGCTTGTGGATTTTAATTTGATCTGTGCCACAGTTTGAAGGAAAATATTGAAAAGATACTGTGAAAAAGGTAAACTGTTTTGACACTCTTATACTATGCTTGCTTTACTTACAAAAACATGTTATTTCAGTGTCATTTAAGATTGTGGCAATTAGCTGTGATCAGACGGTAAATGCCACTATTTGAAATGCTCAAACAATAAAAACGTTTTACTACTGTGTCACACTCTTCACGTACCTTGGTGTTTTACATAGGCCTGTTCACAACTGACCTAACTAATTGAACCAGAGGGAAAAAAACTAAATGACATCACTTGATACCCAACCTGCCTTAAGGCTCTTGGCATGTCTTCAACTGTGAATCCAATATTGAGCAGTCTGATTTTCTAATATATGATATCAGATGGTTTGTTTCTGGTTTGAGTTGTTTCAGCTATGAACATGACTCCCGAGAAGCACTTAGGCTCTGTTCTCACAACTTTTAGATCGATCTATCACCGCGGGGAGTCTCACTAGATTACTGTCAGATAATCCCCCTTAAGGGTCCGTCCCCGCCTACTACAGGCTTTAAGGGGTAATTAACTTTCGTGTCCGCCCGGCTGACAGCTATTTAGCGTGAACCCCCAGGGAGTTAGGTCGATCCAATGTAGGTCGATCTAATCTATGAGAATGGGGTGTTAGAGAGCCAGCACCTGCAGAGTGTTAAATAACATTATTCTTAATGCAAGCTTTAATACCATCTCAAACAATAAAGAGTAACGGTTATAAAAACTATTTTATTATGGAAATGTAGCTCTGTCATGCCCAGATCAATTTCTTACACTAAAATTCCCATAAACTTACTGCGGTCTCCATTAAATTAAAGTAACACTAGATAGTAGTCCATGGAAATTGCATACTAGTACATAGATCGTATTTTCATTGGGACAAATTTAGACTTGAAACGGACTAACTGGTTTTCTCAACAGATCAAGGGACATCTGTCTATATACTATAGGCTCTGGTTTGTTATTCCCATATAAAGCAGAAATATAGGTCAGGCACTGTTGTCAGCTTGTCCAAGTTGATTCTGATGTGAGTATATCGTGGATAGATCCAGCTCTGCAGGGACTCTTGCTGACTGCAATCAGCATAATTAATTGACACTCTTCCTGGCGTTAGAATGCAGAAAGCCGGTGATTATATAAGTACTTTGGAAACAAGAGGAGGTATTCATTTGATTGCATTTAGCGAGAGTCACATAGAGTTGGGTAGATCCAGGTAGACCAATTAAATGGTTTCTAATGGAATTGGGTAGAATTTAATACCCCACTGTGAAAAACCATTTGACACAACCTACATTAATGTTGTAATGATGACAATATTAGGATATGTGTTCTTGTACTTTTGTCAGTCCATTTCTGGTCTAAGCTAGTTCTGGAGTGAATGCAACACAAAAGATAAACATAGTTTTAAGACGTGGCTGTTGAAAAACATTTAACCTGCATTGATGTTGTAATGAAAAACAATATTATGACATGTTTTTGCAGTTTTTATCCTTTTGGTCAGTTAATGTCAATGATGCGTCTATTTCTGGTCTAATTTATTTCTGATGTGAATGTAACACAATAGACCAACCCAATTTCAAGAGGTGGCCATTATGTTTTATGGTCAGATGTGAAAAACATTGGCCTACTACCTGTATTGAAGCTGTAGTGACAACAAGATCATAGGATATTTTTGATTGTGCATGGTTTGAAATTTGTGTAACTATATACAGCCTGCATATTTTGGCCTGTCTGACAAAGTGTGTGGAAGTACAAGGTTGCATATTTGATTGATCTTCAGCTTGGTAAGTTGGTATGTGTAGGAAATTATAGCTAATCATTTTGTGACTGTAATATTAGTTTTACAAGGTAGCAAATTATAGATTTGTAGAGTAGAAATGTAAT